TCTCAGTGCTGTGTCAGTTTGTGGAAATATTTCAGTTTGTATTCCATCAATTCCCGGTGGTTTTTTCTTTGCCAATGCCTTCAATGAAGCTTGAACTTCTTCCTTCAGTACCATTGATTCTTGATCATATACTACCTTTTGAAATGGATGAACATCAACCATTTCTTTTTGGCACAGTGACTTTGTGTATTCCTTCCATCTTCTTTTGATGCTTTCTACATCATTAAATATTTTTCCCATTGTTGTTGTTTAGTGCCATCAAGTCAGTTCTGATGCATTGCGACCCTATATAGGGTTTCTGAGGAGTTGCTGGTGAGTCTGTACTACCACCCTTACAGTTCAAAGTGAACTTGTGGTCAAGTGCTTATCCTACAGTGCCACACCAGGACTCCATTTTGCCCACAAAATCCTTTAATATTGCAAGTTGAGGCTTGACGTTTTTCTTCAGTTCCCTTAACTTGAGAAATGCTGAGTATGTTCTTCCCTTTTGATTTTCTAACACCAGGTCTTTGAACATTTTGTTATAATATTTGACTTTGTCTTCTCCAGCTGACCTTTGAAATTTTTTATTCGACTCTGTTAACATCCTCTTTTCTTCCATTTGCTTCAGCATCTCTATGCTGGAGGGCAAGTTTCAGAGTGTCTTCTGACATTCATTTTGGTCTTTTCTTTCTTTCTTGTTTTCTTAATGACCTTTTGCTTTCTTCAGGTATGAAGTTCTTGATGCCATCCCACAACTCTTCTGGTATTCAGTCTTTAGTGTCTGCTGCATCAAATTAGGTATTGAGATTATCTCTAAATTCAGGTGGATCTAATACTGATAGTCCACAAATATACTGAAATTTTCTTATTACAGTAAAATCTAATTGATTTTAAAAGATAAAGTCAGTTCTCTCATAGATAAGGGGACTTCAAAAGGTTCAAGAAAAAACTAAATTGAAAGGTTATGAAATTTTTTTACTACAAATATTTTTGCAGCCCCCGGTGTGTGTATGTATATCAAAGACTTTATTTAACTAATTATTTAGTGAGGAAACCAGTAAAGATATTACAAATGGTTAAAATGAGAATTGGATTTGTGAAAGTGTATGTGTTTTATAAGGATCCTTGTGGAGCAGTGGTTAAAGTGGTCCTCTGTTAAATAAAAGTTGGCAGTTTGAACCCATCAGTCACTCTCGGAGAAAGATGTGGCAGTCTTCTGTAAAGATTTACTACCTTGGAAACTCTATAGGGCACTTCTACTCTAGTCTGTGACAGTAGGTTTGGATTTGGATATTTATGTGGTTGTAAATGCCGTTGAGTTGATTCCGACCCATAGCGACCCTGTATAGGGTTTCCAAGGAGCAGCTGGTGAGCTTGAACCACTGGCCTTACAGTTCAAATAACTTTGCAGTCTGACACATTAGCCCACAGCACCACACCAGGACTCCTAGATATTTACAAACCTTGTTAATTTGCATTTCCATGAATGAGAATCATTTGCTTTGTTATAGACAGGAGGTTTTTGCATTGCTCTGTTTTCTTGTTAGCTTCCACTTCTACCAAACCAAAAAAATAACCCACAAAACCTCCATGCCATCAAGTCCTTTCAGATTCATAGGGATCTTTCTGAACAGTGTAGATTTCCTTAGGGTTTCCAAGACTAAATCCTGGTGTGGTGCTGTAGCGTAGACACTGGACTGCTAACCAGCTGTTCCTTGGAAATCCTATACAAGGTTGCTGAGTGTGAACCAACCCAAGGCCTTTAACAATAATAACAACAAATATTTACAGTAGTTGTTGTTAACTGTTCTCAAGCTGGTTCCAACTCATGTTGTTGTTGTTGTTAAGTGCTATGGAGCTGGTTCCAACTCATAGCGACCCTGTATAGGATTTCCAAGGCTGTAAATCTTTATGGGAACAGAAAGCCTCATCTATTTCCCGAAGAACAGCTGGTAGTTTCAAACTGCTGACCTTGCGGTTCACAGCACGATTCGTAACACTACCCTATATAGGAGTAGATAGCCTCATCTTTCTCTTGAAGAGCATTTTCATGAATGAGGAACAACTAATGGGTTTAAGTAGCCAACCTTGCCAGTTAGCAACTCATGGCTTAACCCAGTATACTACAGGTGTCCTTCTACCTCTATAGATTTATAAGATGCTGTTGTTGTTTTTAAGTGCCACAGAGTTGATTCCGACCCATAGCGACCCTGTACATGGTTTCCAAGGAGCAGCTGGTGAGCTTGAACCACCAACCTTGCAGTTCAAACATCTTTGCAGCCTGACTCACTAGCCCACAGTGCCACACCAGTATTTGTAAGACAGTTTAGTCAAAGTTAATGGCAGGTGTCCAAGGAGCCATGGCAGTGTCACTGTTAAAGCATCCAGCTGCTAACTACAAGGTCAGTATTTGAACTCCCAGTCACTCTGCAGGAGACAGATAAGACAGTCAGCTTCTGTGAAGATTACAGCCTTGGAAATTTTTATTCTGTCCTAATAGGGTCTCTATAAGATCCTAGTGTGGCACTGCAGATTAACGCACTGTACCGCAAGGTTGATTTGAACCACAATTTCGGTTGTTCAAACTCACCAGCCACTCCTCAGAAACCTTATACAGGGTCACTATGAGTCAGAAATGAGTCGAAGGCACTTAACAACAACATAGGGTCTTTATATGGAGTCCTGGCATGGTGGTGCTATGGATTAATGTGTTGGACTGCAAGGTCAGTTTTAACAACAAGGTAGGCAGTTCAAGCTCACTAGCCGCTCCTTGGAAATCCTATATAGGGTTGCTATGAATTGGATTATGAGTTGGAACTGACTCCCGGCCCTTAACAACAACCACATAGGGTCTTTATGGGAGTGGGTTTTACCTATAAATCAGAAACCAGGATGAGTTTACTAGACAACATCTAGCTTGCCATTGAAAAGATACCTAGTAATCATTTGGACCAGTTCTTTCTCCTTCTACCAGAAACTTATTGCTGTTGTTCTTGTTGTTGTTGTTGTTAAGTGCCATCGAGTCGGTTCCGACCCATAGCGACCCTGTACAGGGTTTCCGAGGGTGTAAATCTTTACGGGAGTAGAAAGCCTCATCTTTCTCCCGCGGAGCGGCTGTTGTTCTTAAGTGCTATCAAGTCAGTCCTGAATAATAATGATCCTGAAAAGGGTTTTCAAGGAGTGACTGGTGGACTTGAACTGCCAACCTTGTGGTTAGCAGTATGGTGTGTATCCCAGGGCTTGTTGTTGTTGTTGTTAAGTGCTGTGGAATCAGCTCTGACTCATAGTGACCCTGTATAGGGTTTCCAAGGAGCAGCTGGTAAGTTTGAACTACCGACCTTATTTTTCATAGTCCCATGATGATCCTACAGTGCCACTCCAGGACTTTTTAGTGAGGATTAAGTAAGGTATGATATACAGAAGTATTCTAAATCTAAACTTATAAGTAGATGCAAAGTTGTTGTTAAGTGTTCTCAAGTCAGTTCCAACTATAGTAACCCTGTATAAGGTTTCAAAGCTTTAAATCTTTGCAGAAACAGAAAACCTTATCCTTTCCCATGGAGCAGCTTGTGGTCTCCAACTTCCATCCTTTTGGTTCATAGCCTAGTGTTTATTGTACAGAACCACTGCACTCCCATTATGTCAAGTAAGCAAATCTTAATGGACTATTTTAAAGTATTAAATATTTTAAATAATGTAAAATTAATAATACAGCAGTAAATCACTGTTACTTACATTTTGTTTTTGTTGTTAATGGCCATTGAGTCAGTTCCCAACCCTATGGATTTCTGAGGCTTGAAATCTTTATGGAAGCAGAAAGCCTCATCTTCTCTTGCTTATATGAGGGTGAGTCAAAAATTATTTGCACTCTGCCTGCAAAGTTTACTTTAATTTTAGAAGAAACAAATACATTATTTTTCAACAACATGTATTTATTGGGGTATCTCCTTGCTTTTCAATACACTTTGTCCATCTATCAACAAAATTCCATATTTCCTTATTGAACTGTGAGCCACAAATGTATCCATGTCGTCACTTCTTCATCAGAGGTGAATCTTTGTCCTCAAAGGGCTACAAACAGGTGAAAGTCTGAAAGAGCATGATCCATACTATAGGGAGGATACTTTAACATCTCAAAATGAACACTGTGTCAACAGTGTGGGCAGAGATATGCGGACACGCATTGCCCTTGGATAGCAGCGCTCTGCATTTAATCTGAAGTTTAGGCTACAGCTCTTCAGTGAGTATCTCACTGTAATGACCGCTGTTGACTGTTGAACCTTTTTCCTGATAGTGTTCCAATACTGGCCCTTGAGAATTGCAGAAAACTGTAAGTCTCAATTTAGAGGATGTTTCCAGTCTATACTCTGCTGTTTACTCTTAGGCTCCTAGTAAATAAGCCGTATCTTGGCAAAAGTAATGATTTTTTTTAAAAGAAAATTTTGCCTTCCTTCAAGTATCAGTCCAATTTCATACCTGCACAGCAGTGACCTTGAATGGAAAATGCTGATAAGAAAGTGTAACCAACAGAAGTTTTAATGTAATTGGAGTACAGATATATATTTGACTCAACCTCATGTACTAGCTGGTTAATAACTTTACAAATAAACAATATGCAGAATGCAAAATCTTTCCCCTGCAGAGTGGATGGTGGGGTTGAACAGCAGACCTTGTGGTTAGCAGATACAATTCCCATCAATGGCAGTGTTCAGATCTGAGATTTTAAGAAAGAAACATCAACAGCTTCATTACACCAAGTAATTGATTAGGATTCTCACAGAAGGCTGTTACTTATTTCTGTCTTGTTCTTATTCTCACTGGTCTTTGTGCGTGTGTGCATGTGTGTGTGAGTGTATGTGTGTAGTGGGGTGTGCCCTTCTGTTTCAATAATTTTATGGAATCTCAGAGATATCTATGTATATTTTCAAACTGTGTATTTTAGATGATGTGCTTTTCCTCATTATTGTAGCACTTAAAATAGAAGCAGAGTTGTCACATTTTCTTTTTGTTTCTTTTAGTATGCAGCACTGTTAATGTGTCCCACTGGTGTTCAAGTTGGACTTTCAGCACTCATCTTTGTAAAGAAAGATGAGGTATGGAAAATGAATCATTTTCAATGCATTCTTTTATTTGAAATCTACAGTAAGTTGAAAACCTTAGTTTTTGAGACATTTGACCTTTAAGGGGAAACAAGGGTTTCAGTGAAAATGCTAAAAGTGAATTTAAAGGGTCGGATTGTAAGAGCGAGCTGGAGGAATTTGTCTGTAACTGTGCTTAGATAAGGATTCCCTGAGTGACACGAATAGTTAAGGGCATAGGTATAAGCACTAACCAAAAGGCTACCCAGAAGCTCCTTGGAATAAAGGACTGATGCTTCACTTCCAATAGGTTACACCCAAGTAAACTCTATGAAACACAGTACTACTCTGAAACACTGTGGCAACAGTGTTTTTTTGATGGTTGTTTTGGGGAAGAGTTTGGATAAGATTGAGAAAGTTGTCAATAACAAAGAAGTGGAAATGATGCTTAGTGTGAGAAACCCAACCACCCCTGCCACCTAGGTTACTACTGTTGATTCCATCGCTGTACTATATTTTTGTAAAGAAATTGATATGGTTTAAGATATGCATTTATATTTATACTAAATTGGAGTACATATTTAGCAATTTTTCCCAGGTCCCATTGTAAGTGATATAGGTAAATTCATTAGAATAAGATTTATATATATCAAATTTAGTTTAAAAAAGTTTATTACAAATTGCCCAAAAAAATGTTTAGTAACAAAACATACCTATTTGTTGTTAATGTTGTAAAGTGCCTTTGAGTCAGTTCTGACCCATAGCAACCCTGTAAAGGATTTCCAAGGAGCAGCTGGTGAGCTTGAACCAAAGCATGCCTATAGGTTACTTTTAATTCTTTAAGTGTTTCAGTTCACTGAAGACCTGTCTTTGTATTAACATATAGTAACTGAATAAAGTTTAACATGTACGTATTTCACAATTTATGTAATATGTCCACAAGTTTTAGTTTTATTATTAAAAACAGTAGCATTATTCTACAATGAGCAAGCATTAAGCTATTGAAATATCTACGCTTCTTTATCCTTGTTTATGAAATGGTAATAGTATTTGTCCTTCCTACTGTTTTGCATTGACTCAAGAACTGGTTTGATTTTTGGTATTAGGGAGGAATAAATTAGAAATTGCTTATGAACACCCTATATAAATTTGTAAATGCTTGAAATAAGCTATTATTAAAATATATTTAGCTTCCCAGAATCTAGATGTCCAAATAACATTTCCCCCCATTCAGATGGGGTCAATTTTCATGTTAATGTTATAACACAATAATTTCTAAAAGTGTATGATCATGACTCAGACAAATAAAATAGACACTGTCAATAATTTTATTTAATATCTTAATTAATGAGGAAATCAATAAGATATAAACACCAGTTTGAAGGAAAATCCGAAGGAACACACATATGAGGAGAAGGCCTCATTTTTATCCTATAGAACAGCTGGTAGTTTCGACCTTGCGGTTAGCAACCTGATTCATAACCACTATGCTACCAGAGCTCCTTATATAAGTAATCAAAAATGTTTAAATGATTTTAAAGATGTAAAATTAACTTGGAGGGAAGAGGGATCAAATTCACCTCCACTAAGAAAATTGATTTGTATTTTTATAATCAAGAATTATTTATTTTATTGATAGTTTTGTATAACTTTTAAAAAGCTGCAAAGTAAGTTACCTTAAAGATATGATAGGCCAACATTGAATAGATTTCTGAGTCGCCATCAGGGAAAGTTTTAATCAAGTTTTTACTTTTAATTCAATTTTCAATAGGTTCATCAAATATGGCACAAAGAATTTGATTTAATCATCTCTAAGTATGGATCCAAAAATATGTCTGAAGATATACCCAAGTGGACTATTCTGAATGTGTTACAGAAAACAGTAAGATGAAACTAGTATAAAGCTATAATTAGATGTCAAATGTGATCACCATGTTGTTGTTGTCAGGTGCCATCGAGTCGGAACCGACTTGTAGGGACCCCATGCACAGCAGAACGAAACAATATCTGGTCCTGGGCCAACCTCACTACTGCTGCCACACTTGAGTCCATCAATGCCACCTGGCCAATCCATCTCATTAGGGGTCTTCCTCTTTTTCTCTG